CGCAGTTGAGAATCTGATGAGACGAGTGATTTCAACCCATTCTTCGTACTTGTACGCACGAGGTGTGTCGAGAGTGAGGTCGTGTGCCGTGCGACGGATAGCGAGAGCGAGTTGGCGCGCGAGAGCGGCAGCATCAGGTTGTTTCGCCTGCGCAGCTAGTGCTTCCATGGACGGAGACAATATGCCAGCTGCATATGCATCATCTTTAGACATTGTACCGGCCGAGCTGGACCCTTCCTCCTTTCCGTTCTCTCTGAGGATGTTCTCGAGTGTTTCGACGCGGTTACGCAGTTCGTTGTGTTTAATCTGCCATTCTCGTGTTGCCTTGGCTAGACCGAGCGAGAGCCAGGGGTGCTTTTCCACAAGGGATGTCCAAATTCCTTCTTTGGGGAGGATTGTGAAGTCGGCCACTCTGCTGGACCAAGTGTTGAAGGCTGAAACGACGGTTGATGTGAGGTCTGAAGCTAGCATCGTGATGCTAGGCACGGCAATGATGGACCAGATGAGAAAGAAGCACCTCCCTGCTCCCGTCTTGGGGGCGAAATCGCCGTACCCAATTGAGAGAATGGCGACCCAGCAGAAGTAGACCGTCTCCCAGTAGCTTTGGCCTGTGGTACCACCTTCTGCCTTCCAGAAAGCGACAGCGCCAACACACCAAAATATAGTGAAGATAGACAAGCTAATGCTAAGACGCCATGAGTTCTTCCACAGTTTGGCTTTTTGCTGAAGGTTTCGCATCTCGTCGAACCGCAGTTTCTCATCGCGCAGAAGTTTAACCTTGTGATTCTTCTTCATCCAGCTGCTCACATGCAGTGTGTTGCTTTGAGTCGTGTGAATCCCTGTGGCCGCTCCACCACTCATGGTCATCCGATACTGCAAGGCGGTTGCTGGAGAACGGGAGCTGGGTCTCGCCGCATGCTTTGCCATTGCGCGTTCGTGTGCCATCTCTGCTTCGATTTCTTTGCGCTGAAGTTCCAGGCTCGTTGCTACAGTTCTACCTTCGGTTCGCTGCCGTTGATGCTCAATGTGGCTTCTCGTAATCTTCTGTTCACCCAACTCTTGCACTGATCGATAGATACTAGATACAACGAGACCGAGCATGATGATACCACCCAGAGAGAATGGTATAAGTAGAGCTCGAGTGCTGGTCTTTGTAGGGTAGAGATCGCCAAATCCAATGGTCAATATGGTTACATTGCAGTAGTATAGCTGGAAATCTTAGTGTAAGAATAGTAGTGGAATAATAGTGAATGAAGGCCCCACGTACTGCATCGTTGTATTGCCACCCCTCAATACGAGCATATACCCCAGCTCCACCGCCTAACCAGATGAAGTAGAAAATGGTCTGAACAATCAAGGTCCGTTGGTCTTCTGTGAGGTCGAAGTATTGGGGGTAATGTCCGCGAACATATCCCACAAGGTTGATCATAAGTGTGGAAGCAAGAAGGAAGTAGAACGATGCGGCAGCGATTGCATACCAGAATCCCCCCGAATAGGTTTCGTACGGTGCAACAGGCCTATTATAGACATGCATTGCGGTAAGATCGCCGATAAGCTGAGATAACGTGAGCGGAATCAAAACGAAGAAAGCCGTGCTGGCTTACAATGCCACAAGAGATGAACCATAGCATGATGGTCATGGGAAGGGAGATGATGTACCGAATCCGATTGGTAAAATTGAGTAAAAGGAAGAAATTGCCAACGAAGCCAAGAACTAGAGAAGCGACATTGATCCAGTAACACCTGTCACAGTCAATTGGCGTTTACAAAGCAAAAGACTCTCCGACGTACCATCGAGGATCCCGGATAGGCGTTGCTTGTAGTTGTGATACAGTAGCAGTCGAATCTGCTGGATCTCTCAGATCGAGCCTCCAAAAGGTAACCAGGGCGCCGATTGAAAGAACATTTGCGAGAGGCCCAAGTGTGGCAGCTAGGATGGGTATAGCAGTGCTGGCAAACCACCAATCCCTACAATCCTCAGTAGTGGACTAATGCAGCCTCTGGTATCCACACACCGAATTTGGAGTGGAGATGAGGCTGAATCTTGGTACAGCACTTACACTGGACTATCGTCGTGTCTTCCTCTCATGCGCACTTTCCAAAGCTTGAACCTTTGCGCCGCCTCCTCGCCATCGAGGTCAAATGCCGTGTTCTTGGCCTGGAAGACTGCATTTTTGAACGACTTTCCAAACGGCTCGTTCCTTTGACGGCGTTCAGTGAACTCTTCGAGCAGACTGGGCATTTTGATGGCGACTGGTTGAACTCGTGAACCTGGCGAGAGCGATCTTCGAAGTAAGAAATCGTATAAGAGATGCAAACGCAATAGGGAAGCTAGCGTTAGGGTTAGGAGATCTCCATGTTCTAGACATGCTAGCGTGCATTAACAACGAGAGCTGGCAGAGCGGTTCGAGATGTCTGTTGGATGGCGGTCGTGGATTGGACGGAAAACCTGGAGACATGCACGTCTATCGTGTAGCTCCACGCCACCCGATAAACAAAGGACCCTAAGTATGAATGATAGATGTTATGTGCAGATGATAGTTTTGGTAGGTGTTTATTGATGTAAGGGAAATTTTCTGAGTTGAGTTGAGAGTTGTGGAGAAAAGATGGGATGATTGTGAGTTGCCTCGGTCCTCACTCAGTCGATCGTAGTTCTTTCCTTTAGATGCGATTCTCTTGCAACTTGTGTTGTATGTTCCATCGTTTGCTGGATATGTTCGACCTATTCGGGTTCTCCTAAAGGCGCAAGCTCAAGTTGCTGCCGACGCGTCGACGTGTTTTTCGCCCGAAGACAGCTGCTCTGTGGTTCAGCTTCCATTTGCGGACTCTCGAGGCGTGATCGCCCAGGAAGTGGCCCCGACTCGAATATTTGATTAAGTTGATGCGTTTGTGATGGTTTGACCACGGTGCCCAGGTGGTGTGGTGGGACGTCCATCTGGAGCCTCGGCCAAAGATGCACGTGATGCAATACGATGGATGACGTAGCCAACCACTGAGCTACTTTCGTTCCATGCATGTCCAAGCCACACAACATACCTTTGTACCACGGCAAAACACTCAGCTCGTTCCACCTTTGCTCAGCCCACAGCGAGGCTGAACGCCATCCGCAGCCTCAACTCGGTGCAAGATGAAATACCCACTTGATCCTCGTCCCATGAATGCGTCTGACAACGACCTCTCCTACACCTCGCAACATGGCCGTGTGCAGCATCCAGGGAAGCGCCGATATGTACGGCCTTGGAATCCGCCTAGGATATTATTTGCAATGGTTTGGTGCGATACTAGCAGCCTGGATCGCGCCCTCTGAAGTAAAGAACCTCCGCTTCTCCATCGATATGTTCGCCTCAGCCTCGTTTCTCGCCTTGATCATCCTTACTGCCCGACCTGATGATTCTCTCCAGCCCGCCGAGACGTATATAATCCTGCTGTTGATGTTCGGGGCATATCTGGCAATGGCACCAATTTACCTCTGGCGACTGTTCACAAAATGCAACCCATATTGGGATCCCACTCGCTTTCCACTCGCAAATCCCGGAGCCTTGTCTGCAAATCTAGGCTTTTCTCTGGTAGTTGGTGTGCTTTGCTTCCAATATTGGTTCTGGTCTGCTCGAGTATCAACCCTCAATGCAGTAGACTGTCAACAATACGGCTTCTTCTTTGCTAAACTTCGGCTGAATAGTCGGGTTTCTATTGCCCTCAATGGATTGATGTACGGCTGGCTTGGGGTGGTCTGTGTGTACATCATCGGACTGAAGACGAAACATCATTTGGGGTATCCCGAGGCTGACCAAACTGGAAGGCTGAGATTCAGGAACAGGCGCCAGATGACGAAACATGTGGATATGCTCCGCAACCTTGAAGGAGCTAGCAAACTGGTCATCGCTGTGATTGTGACGACGGCTACTGAGCTTACGATACAATGGAACGAGATTGAGGACATACATTCGCTCTCCAGTGCCGACCAAACGATTCCATTCATCATTGGGCTTGGGTCAATCATACGAGTTCTCTACGTATGTTTTAAGATACGCAATGAAAGGAGCGACGAGGATGAGTACCGATACCGATACAAAACGGGACAGGCACTGAGACCAATCCCAATTACAAAAGCCCCATCAGTGGGAAGGCCTCCGAACCAAATTCCAGATGCCCACGATATGATAAATCGAAACGAAAGTCAGACAGATCTACGGCGCAAGTTCAAAAAACCGGGATCCTGGATACGACGTTTCCAGCCCAGCCTTACCCCAATATCTTTGGCACAAGCTCCAATGGCAATGCCCTCCGCTGCTGGTCGTTACACACCAACATCCTTGACACAACCTCCCATGAATTATTCCCCATATTTACCCATAGATCCAAACGCTCCAATACCTCTATACCAGACCCCTTTTTCTCCAAGTACCACGCCGATACCTTTACACCAGGTTGTTAGCGAAATGGATGGGGAGAGGTACATTCCGATAGGCTTACGCCAATCGGTTCGAATGGAGATAGACTAAGACTTGCGGAAAGGTGAAGCAAGCTTGTGTGCTCAGATATCAGTAGGACCTCTGATAACTTTCGACATGGATAGGCTCAGGCGTGAACTAGGGTGTTTTGTGGCAATAGTACGCAGTCGACTAACACTATTCTTTGGTTCGAGGTGTTTTGTACAGTATCAAGCTTCCAGTAAAGTTCTATTCTAATAAGGGCTCGATTTCACATTACCTGTCAGATACAGCGCGACGTGGTCCAATATCAATCCGCCGTCAACGAGTATGAGGCTTTATCGCCGGCACGTGACGCTATCTGATATCTCCAATCTAGCGCTCATTCGTCGACGCCCTTGTCCCGTCCATATCCGGCACCCCACATGTCGCGTCACGCCGCACACACAAACCCAGACGTGGGTCAAAATTGAGCAAACCGACGTGACAATGATCGTGAACGCTTTTGCAACTTATAGTAGGCCGGTATATAGGTCAGTCGTTTTCAAAAAAACTTCATTCTTAAGAAGAGGCCGGTTGGCGCAATGGTAGCGCGTAGCCCTCCTAGTTCCAGGTGTCAGGCTAAGGCTGTGGGTTCGAGTCCCACATCGGTCGTTATTCTGCCTTCATTTCTTTTTGCTTTTTGTTGGCACTGCCTAGGACCGGGAGTCTTAGTGGCATGGAACGGTGGTCAGGCAGTTCTTTTTTTTTTGGAGGTGTGTGCTGGGCGGGGAAGGCGCGGCAGGGGCTGACTGACGGCTTAAAGCTAGCGTCTCACGTCTTCGCCTGAGCGACCCTCTGCCCCTCAACACCAAAACAGGAACAGGACTTTATCACGATACTTGGCATCTCAAAGTGCAGCAAAGTTTCGTCTTTTTTTTTCCCTTTAAGCATTTCTATTCTTCGTCTCTATGGTCTTTTTCTACAATAGCTGGGTGTGTGGTCCACGCGTTAGCAACATTTCGCACTTGACGCGTGAAAGCGTATCGCGTCCCAACATTATATTACCCCCCTCATATACGCTGTTACTGACAATCCCGAGATATACATAATGTCATTTGGTACACCTCAATAGTCACCCTTAAAAAGTCGATGATTGGAATGCGCTCTCGTCGCTCAAGGTCCTCGGTCAACCAGCAACCAACCAGCGCCATCTTTCACGTCCTCGGTGTCATTCAACAGATCTTTGACGTCCTCTGACATAACTTGAATCCCCTTCCGCTTCCACGAACCCGTTTCTGGGATGCGGAGCGACGCGTTCATGCGGACTTCTCCAGCAAATGGTACAGGATCTCTCGCGCGGAACAACTCAATTTCAAGCACATCGGAACCGTGTCACAACCATATAACCATTCATGATCAGCAAACGATGATATAATAACTGACGAGGTTACCCTATGCGCGATACAATGTACAGTTGAAAGCGGAGTCTGCAATACTGGGCATTACATCTATTAACAGCCTTAGCACGCAATTCTACCAAGTTGCTGTACATCCCCCAAAGAACACGCACCACGCACGCATGAAGGATGATCAAGTCCAACTGAAGTCCAACTGCCAAGATATATTGGAAATACTTGCTACCTTCTGTATCCGAGATATTCCATACGGAGTCGCTAGGAATCGGCAGTCATTTAACTGTTGTTGAATCCTGAGAGAGCTGCAAGGGTGATTGCCCACAACCTCTGTTATACAGGAGCATTAGTTTGCTTGTCGTCCCCGCAAGACGCACCGCGAAAGCCACGGACTGCCGAATTGGAACTCGATTAATACGACAAGCCAACTCCACCAGATACGTGGAGTTGCATACCGCCCAACGTCGAAGCCTTTGATTGTCTTGGTGTAGTATCTTAGCGAGCTTGGGGACTGAATGCTCCGTGGAAAGGCTTCTAGAGAATTAGGTTGTAATGTGGTGTAGTCGTGTACCCGTCAGGATCACGGGGTGGTGTCAGGTGATCTCTGGCTAGAGGAAATTCTTTCGATAGGGGTTCGTATTTTCTCCATCATCCACCTCATGCGAAGAGTAATCAACCTTTGTTTTCATGCTCTTTGAACCGCCGGTTATGGATCGATTGCGGGTCTATGGTTAGGGTCCTGCCTCTACCACAGTAACCGTAGGTCTTACTCAGCCGATGGTATTTCTTCTGTGTCTCAAAGACGTGTCGTGTGTCGTGTGGTCTTTCTAGCTTTCTTCTTCATTCTCCGCTCTCCCTCTGTAACCCAGCCTGGTCCCTTTCCTACTCCGCGTTCACCCCACCACACTCGAACCTCGCTCTTGGTGTCGGTATCCTCCTCCTCTTCTTCTTCTCTCTTCCGTTTCTTTACCAGATTTCTATCATCGTCCTCGCACATGCTCATCCCAAACTTATTCCTCTTGACCCACTCGTTCATGATCTTCTGTTCCATTCGCAGCCTCCCGCTCTTCTCAGACGCCTCCCGTTTTTTCTTCATCCGTCTGAGCGTACCCCGAGCCCTGCTCACATCTGCTTTGGATGCCCAAGGCCCGGCCTTGACCTCTTCGCGTGACTTGCCAATCCACCACTGCGGATCGATGGCTCCGGTGAAAGCCGGTCCTGGAGAGACGCCAATTGTGTAGCAAACTTTATGGAAAGATTGGAACTTCAGTGTCGCAAGGCCAGCATGCTCGGCACGTCGAAGTAGGGTCAATCCTATAGAGGGGGGTTGCGTGCGAGGTAGCGTGAAGTCTGTAAATACGGTGGGGAGTGCGCTCGAGGCGTGTTTGTCGCGTGTGTATGAGGCGGCTTCGCGGATGAAGTCGATTTGCTCTTGATTGTCGACGGTATCGGTGTCATCGTCAGAAGAAGAAGAAGAAGAAGAAGAAGAAGAAGAAGAAGAAGAAGAGAAAGAGAAAGAAGAGCTGGTAGTGGAGGGAATCTCGAGGAAGATATTGGCGTCATCGTTCGTTGAAAGTGACTTGGTTTCGTCGACCGGTGTCGCATCACGACGAGAACTGATATCTTGGCCCCGCGATCTTAAGCGCAAGGGCATGGTTGTGGTACTGTTCAAGGATATCTGACTAGTGTTGGTATGCCTGGCACAGACAGGTAAAGAGATGTTGAGTCTTGCAGTTGATTTGTGTTCGGTTTTAGTTGCGAGTGAGTCCGGACATCGTTTCTGCAGGCGGAAGACTGGATTATAAGAGAACAGGAAAGATGTGTTTGAGACGTCGTCTATTGTCTCTTCACTCAATAGCATTTGCTATTGTTCTTGTTGATTGTCACCTCGTCAATAACAATTCCATTGTTTACTACTTTTGCCCTCTTTCACCGCCAAGATCACTGCCCGATATGACGGCGCCAAGAAGGGGCACAGTGATATATACATAGGAGCTGTTTTCACTTTGTAGTCCTAGTCACCCGTGAGAGATCAAGAGGAGCCGGGTGAGCCTTGCAAGTCCGTATTGTATCCGCCAGGAGTACGTATACATTGCTTCCAAGGGCCCATCGTAGGGCGTTCTCTCTAACATATAGGGTTTTACAGCAAGGCTTTCGCAGATACATATGACAATGCCAACTCCCGTCAAGCCTTGAGGTTAAGAGAAGGAACTTGACTTTACAAAGCCCCACTGTATCTGCCAGCTCTACCAAACCCATCACCACAAACACATGTCTTACCACCGAAAACCAAGTCGAGGATAAGGTCTCGTCGAGCCACCGAGCACACGATCAATACTACACCAAGCATGGAAGATTGTTTTTCTTTTTTCTTCTTTTCGTTTCCTGGACCTGTAATTGCAAATGGCAGCGTTAATCGGTCGATGATATTCACAAGAAATGTCATACGACATAGCATATACATGACATTTACAAGAGGTGTCAAGGGACTTCATTTCTTCTATCAACTGGAGAAACACGAAAATAATCCCGACATTAATTGTTAGCAGATACATACAGTACGTACGCAGTGTCAGAAGAAGCCACAATCCCATCCAATCGGCATTCCAACGTCCCATTCCAATTCCTTGCAAATCATATCGAGTCGCATTCGTAAAAGTAAAACCCACCATGCCCCATCCCACCCTACTCTAGCCACCCATCCTGCCAAGTCTCCTGACTCATCGGTCCCAGAAGACGTAACCACGAACGAACAAATATGGATAGTCGAGACGTGTCATTACCTAGCCATTCCCACCAAGTTGGAACGATGGGTCTGTTGGGCGTCGACACGGGTCCCCCCACAGCACCGCCGTTCAAATAGCCCCCAACCGCGAATATGATTTCGTGTCCTGATTGACGCCAAGCCATGTTCAGCATAAATGAATGGCGTGCGAAGGCTTCGGGCCAGATGAGATCGCTGAGTGCTTGGGGCGGGATGGATTCTTGGAGGACCACCTGTACTTCGAACTTGGTCTTGTCTCCTTGGGTCTGTTTGGCGTGGGCGAACTGCCGGGCGGCTTGCTGTGAGAATTGCAGCGCACCCTTTTCGGCCTTGTTCCGCACGAACCACTCCCAAAGCGAGATATTGCAGGGCTTTCCGCCGGCATCCACGGTCGGGAAATTGACGCCGTTGAAGAAACACACGGGATCGTCCGCAAAGGAAGCCCCCAGCAGTGTTACGAGTTTCGAGGCGGGATATCCTTCCGTTACGAACATCTTGGGTATTGACGTGACGATGAAGTTCCTGGTGATTGACTGGACTATGAAAATGGCCTCACTGTAGACGGTCTTGCAAGTGCGAAGGATGGCGATATGGACGGTCCTGGCGATGACGACGGCGGGTACTTGCTGGTCCACTGGTATGGTATGGTGTCTTATGCACCGCGGCAGGTTGTCGTAGACCATCAGACGAAGTTCCTTTGGGAGGTCGAGAAACCGGAATGGCTGTTTCGTGGTAGGAGGAGCGAGGGTCAGGGAAGCCATAATAGGTTGTAGGGATGACATTTTGACCGCGCTGCGCCCGTGGCTGTAAATTTGAGTGTGGGAGGGGATCGCGGAGAGAATGATGAAAAAACTCTTCAGCAAGGAAGAGTTATTATATACATGCTGGCGAGCTACTGGGACTGGGACTACTACTCCGACGAACCTTGGGTTGAAAGGTCTACAAACCGATATTAAATCTGGAGAGAGCAGACTCAACCAAGCTTCGCCGTTTGAATACCAGACACTAACCAAAAATGGGGATATATACGCTGAAGATCCCTGCTCCATCGATATAGACTACCAGAGATAACATGGCACGGCCCACTTTTCCGTCTCCGAAAACTCTGGTCGACACATACAGGAATGTCCCCACAAGAGTCCCAACCCACATATTCAAGGGAAAAGGTATAATGGTTCCGTTCCAAGAATCAAGATTTCGTCTAAACTCTGGGCCGGATATTGATATCCATTACGAGGAACCACTGTTTAGGAGATTATACGATGCTCCCCCACAAGAGTTAATTGGGGGTACAACGAGCTGTGTATGACTCCAATTTTTCCTTGCTGAAGCAGAAGTAATGTCTCCGTCTGTTCTCCTACATGCAGGTATCAGGCCTATAGACTATACCGTATGGTCATGTACATACATACATGACGAAGGACAAACACGACCGAAACATGACCAATAATCAGGCCGACCACCGAGCCTTGTTACAACCTCAGAGCATCATCATC